TCAATTAAGACCCGAAATGGTTGATCAAATCCTTCCAATGACTGCTAAGCCAGAATCCATGTTCTCGGTTGAAATTGTCTGTGTTTGTACAGTGAGGGAAAAAAGAATTTGATCCCCTGCTGATTATGTACGTTTGCCCACTGACGAAGAAATGATCAGTCTATAATTATAATGGTAGGTTATTTGAACAGTGAGAGACAGAATACCAACAAAAAAATCCAGATAAACGCATGTCAAAAATGTTATTAATTGATTGGCATTTTAATGAGGAAAATAAGTATTTGACCCCTCTGCAAAACACGACTTAGTACTTGATGGCAAAACCCTTGTTGGCAATCACAGAGATCAGACGTTTCTTGTAGTTGGCCACCAGGTTTGCACACATCTCAGGAGGGATTTTGTCCCACTCCTCTTTGTAGATCTTCTCCAAGTCATTAAGGTTTCGAGGCTGACGTTTGGCAACTCGAACCTTCAGCTCCCTCCACAGATTTTCTATGGGATTAAAGTCTGGAGACTGGCTAGGCAACTCCAGGACCTTAATGTGCTTCTTCTTGAGCCACTCCTTTGTTGCCTTGGCTGTGTGTTTTGGGTCATTGTCATGCTGGAATACCCATCCACGACCCATTTTCAATGCCCTGGCTGAGGGTAGGAGGTTCTCTACGGTACATGGCCCCGTCCATCGTCCCTTTGATGCGGTGAAGTTGTCCTGTCCCCTTAGCAGAAAAACACCCCCAAAGCATAATGTTTCCACCTTCATGTTTGACGGTGGGGATGGTGTTCTTGGGGTTATAGGCAGCCTTCCTCCTCCTCCAAACACGGCGAATTGAGTTGATGCCAAAGAGCTCAATTTTGGTCTCATCTGACCACAACACTTTCACTCAGTTGTCCTCTGAATCATTTAGATGTTCATTGGCAAACTTAAGACGGGCATGTACATGTGCTTTCTTGAGCAGGGGGACCTTGCGGGCGCAGCAGGATTTCAGTCCTTCACGGCGTAGGGTTACCAATTGTTTTCTTGGTGACTATGGTCCCAGCTGCCTTGAGATCATTGACAAGATCTTCCCGTGTAGTTCTGGGCTGATTCCTCACCGTTCTCATGATCATTGCAACTCCACGAGGTGAGATCTTGCATGAGCCCCAGGCCGAGGGAGATTGACAGTCCTTTTGTGTTTCTTCCATTTGCGAATAATCGCACCAACTGTTGTCACCTTCTCACCAAACTGCTTGGCAATGGTCTTGTAGCCCATTCCAGCCTTGTGTAGGTCTACAATCTTGTCCCTGACATCCTTGGAGAGCTCTTTGGTCTTGGCCATGATGGAGAGTTTGGAATCTGATTGATTGGTTGCTTCTGTGGACAGGTGTCTTTTATACAGGTAACAAGCTGAGATTAGGAGCACTCCCTTTAAGAGTGTGCTCCAAATCTCAGCTCATTAGCTGTATAAAAGACACCTGGGAGCCAGAAATCTTTCTGATTGAGAGGGGGTCAAATACTTATTTCCCTCATTAAAATGCAAATCAATTTATAACATTTTTGGCATGCGTTTTTCTGGATTTTTTTGTTGTTATTCTGTCTCTCACTGTTCAAATAAACCTACCATTAAAATTATAGACCGATCATTTCTTTGTCAGTGAGCAAACGTACAAAATCAGCAGGGGATCAAATACTTTTTTCCCTCACTGTATATGTGGATAGCCTCATGAACGAATCTCTCATGGTAGCCAGATGGCTTGCAGAGAACCTCTGTCTTGGAGAAGTCAATGTCATGTGAGCCTACTGAATTATAACAGTGATCTGCCACGGCCGAGGTGTTGGTCCTACCGTGTTTTAGGTCTGCTTTGTGTTCACGGATGCGGTCCGAGACATGTCGTTTGGTTTCTCCAATGTAACTACTACCACAGACGAAACTTAGTTTGTAGACGCCAGGGTACTGTATGTCCGGAATCACATCTTTTACAGACGGAACCAGATCACGGATTTTATGTAATGTGTTGAATCGGACCTGGATCTTGTGTTTATTCAAGATTTTGGAGATCTTTTTTGTGATCCTGCAATGTAGGGTAAAGTGATGGTTTTGAATGGCTCCTCAAGAGGGTCCTTCTTCACGGTTGGAGTGATAGCTTTGCAGATTGTGGAGTCGGAGTAACCACCACTTTACCCTACATTGCGGGGATCACAAAAAAGATCTCCAAAATCTTGAATGAACACAAGATCCAGGTCCGATTCAACACATTACATGAAATCCGTGATCTGGTTCCGTCTGTAAAAGATGTGATTCCGGACATACAGAACCCTGGCGTCTACAAACTAAGTTGCCTCTGTGGTAGATGTTACATTGGAGAAACCAAACGACATGTCTCGAACCGCATCCGTGAACGCAAAGCAAACCTAAAACACGGTAGGACCAACACCTCGGCCGTGGCAGATCACTGTTATAATTCAGTAGGCTCAAATGACATTGACTTCTCCAAGACAGAGGTTCTCTGCAACCCATCTGGCTACCATGAGAGATTCGTTCATGAGGCTATCCACATATACAAACACAGAGACAATTTCAACCGAGAAGATGGATTCTGGCTTAGCAATCATTGGAAGTTTTTGATAAACCATTTCGGGTCTTAATTGATTGTTCACGCTTACGGTGGCTTTCAGACCGCATCCATTATTTTCGTCTCCCCCCTCCTCTTTTCCGAACATAGATGGACATAGATGGACTCGTCCATCTGAATAACTGCCAAATAGCTCTCCGTGGTGCTAACGTTAAAAAAACGCCACTTTTTTCAAATTTTCTTGCTGTGGTTTTCACACCTGATGATGATTGCTTGTGTTGCAGTCGAAACGTCGTGAGAATTTTATTGTTTTATATTTGTATTATTTTATTGTTTCCCTTCTATGTGACTTTAGCGAAAGAACCAATAATATGAATCCCTGCAGTCACGAAAGCTTTAAATCAGGATTTATACTCTTTGGTTATTTCGGTAAAAGTCACTTAGGTAGAAAAAAAATAATATATCACGACGTTTCGATCGCAACACAAGCGGTCGTCCTCGTACAGAAAAAAATAATCCAGCAATGGAACTGTTGGATTATTTTTTTTCCGCCGTGGAACTGCTGTATTATTTTATAATTGTATAATCCAGCAGTGGAACCGCTTGTGTTGCGATCCAAACGTCGTGATATATTATTTTTTATTTTGTTTAATTTTTCTACCTACATGACTCTTACCGAAATAACCGAAGAGCATGGATGCCTGCAGTCACGGAAGCATCAAATCAAGAAAGAGGATTTGCTCATATAATTGAGTTGTTTATAGTTGTTGTTGTTGTTTTCATGCTTGACAGTTGTTTCACGTGTCCCTTGTCTTCGGCCCACCAACTTTGTGGTCTTCTTATTCGCGGTTCACTTTGACCTCTCTGGCCGCTCTATTTGTGTGCTGTGGGGGGGGGGGGGGGAAGAGCCATTGCCCGAAACGTCGCCTCTTACACCATTATTTATTCAGAAGGCCACGGTGTTGTCTGTTTAGCGAATGTGTTGAGGACTTTTTTTGTTAACTGTGCCTGTGCACAGCTGCCAACGCAGCAGCATAAAACAATGTTTCTTCATTTGCTAACGCATTAAAGTAATTTCCTGTAGAGAGAAGTGGTTCTTAACCTGGGGTGCGAGATGCCCCTTTTGGGTGTGCGAGACGTGGCCAGATTTTTTTTTTAGGAAGTAAATAATCGAAAACACAAATTAAACACGGGCATGTAAGTACAACTACTTTGCTTCATCGAACCTCTGTATTTATTAACATTGTACATGTTTTATTAGTTGAGAACCAAATGGGTGCAAGGCTGCAGTAAAGATTAAGAACCACTGCACTACACTATACACTACACTATACACTACACTATACACTACACACTACTATACACTACACTATACACTACACACTACACTACACTACACACTACACTACACTATACACTACACTATACACTACACTACACACTACACTATACTATACACTAAACTATACACTACACTATACACTACACTTCTATACACTACACTTCCATACACAACACTATACACTACACTACTATACACTACACTATACACTACACTTCTATACACAACACTACTATACACTACACTATACACTACACTACTATACACTACACTATACACTACACTACTATACACTACACTACTATACACTACGCTACACACTACGCTATACAATACACTACACACTACGCTATACACTACACTATACACTACACTACTATACACTACACACACTATGCTATACAATACACTACACTATACACTACACTACTATACACTACACCAGTGGTTCTTAACCTGGGGTGCACGCATCCCCTAGGGGTGCAGGGTCCCCATTCTGGGGGTGGCGAGACATGGCCAGATGTTTTTAGAAGGTAAATCATCGAAAACACAAATTAAGCACGGGCACGTGAGTACAACTCACTTTGTTTCATCGGACGCCTCTGTATTTAACATTAAATGTTTTACAATTGAGAATCAAAGGGGTGTAAGATTGCAGTAAAGGTTAAGAACCACTGCTGTCGATGATCAACAGTGTTTATTATAATGGCTACGTCATCAACCATTCTAGGACGGCGAATACTTTCACCATTTTGCCTTGAAAGTATTTTTATTGTTCGAATACAATTCACGGCGTCGCATGTCGTGGGTGACTCTTGGGCTGTATCGTCTCCGCCCGCGAGAGGTAGCATTCGCGTGCGTACAATCTCGATGTATTTATTCCTATCATTATAATTTTTTTTATTTAATACGTTCACGGGAGCATTTATTAACGTCTTGGTTTGCGAGATTGAACTACATCTGTTTCCACTGAGACTTTCACCCAGCAGGGGATACATCGTTTCTGCTGCTGCTGAGCTTCTTTCACGCACCGTATGTAACCAACCATGCTAGTCGGAGGCGATGATCGATTAATGTCACGCTGATTTCTACTTTCTATTGGCAGATCAACGACGACAAATGTTTTCCCAGAGGGAAACCATCATTGCTCGACTACGTAGAGTTTAAGAGGGCGTTGAACAGTCGGTAGTAAACCAATGATAATTATAAATAACACCAATTGGGCTTCCGATGCTTCTCCGCGACTGAAGAGCTCCACTGCATGTGGACGGCGAAACCTCTTTAAACCGGACTCGCTCGGGGGGTTAGAGCCTTCACCACGGGAAATTCCAAGCACGTTCAACTCACGCTTATCAACCATTTACAATACCCCATTAACGAGTAGGCAATCACTTACAATTTTAACAACACTTCAGACATCACTCCAGATTAATCTTAAGTCGCCCGCCACCGCCACTGCGACGAACGAGTGGAAGGTTGCGGATTCGAAAAACTACAATTACAGTTTTAAAGAAAATTTCGTGCGTTTTTGATGTAGTTTACAAAATTAATGTCCGTCAAGGAGAGAGCACAAGTCCACCACCAGCAGACCGATGTCATCTGTGAACCCATGCCCATGGACCACTAGCGCCGGACGACTTAACAGCCTTTTGTGACCCCCCCGCCCCCCACGCCGACTCGCAACTTTGTCAAAGCCCTCTCCTTGAACATCACGCGGCATGGCCAACCTCACGGACACGCACGCCAGCGCTGGTTGCATCCTCTACATGGACGCCTTCAACTGTACGGGTCCCACCATGCCCCTGCCCGCTCGCTCCGCAAGCCTGGCCGTCATCTCCTTGTTCGTGGTGACCACTGTCCTGGGCAACCTGCTCATCATAAGCACCATCGCCTTCTTCAAGCAGCTCCAGACGTCCACCAACGTCCTCGCTCTCTCCTTGGCCGTCACCGACTTCCTCATCGGCCTGATCATCATGCCGATGGCCATGACCAAGGAAATGTTCAACTGCTGGTTCTACGGCGACGTGTTCTGCAATGTGCACTTCTTCATCGACTACATGCTCACCAACTGCTCCATGCTCCACCTGGGCAGCATCGCGCTCCAAAGGTACGTGGCCATCAGCGATCCCCTGCACTACGCGACCAGGATGACCAGGAGATCGTTGGCGGCGATCATTGGCTTCTGTTGGCTCGGCTCGGCCGTCTTCTCGTCGCCCATCCTGCTCAGCTTCAGCTCCGCGCTTTCGGAGCAGACGGTTGCGAGGAAATCCTGCGCGGACAACTGCCTCTTCTACGTGCATATGGGCATCATGTTCGTCGTCGGCTACTGTCCCTACTTCGCTTCTCTCCTGGTCATCGTGTGCGTCTACGCCAAAATCTACAGGATTGCGCGCAATCAGATGCGGAAGATCAGATCGGTGGCCTGCAAGGTGGAAGAGACGACGCTCCAGGTGATCAAACGGGAGCACAATGCCACGAAAACTCTAGGGGTCATCATATTTTTCTTCCTCGTTTCGTGGCTCCCGTACTACCTCATCGTCCTGTCGTCCATGGCCGTCAAGAACACGATGTCTGTGTACAGGGTGGCCCTCTGGGCCGGTTACATCAGCTCCGCTTTCAACCCGCTGCTGTACGCGTCCTTCAATCTGCACTTCCGCAACGCGTTCAAGATGATGCTGAGTTGCAAAATATTTGCGCCCGGAGCGCGACACACCAACTTAAATTACCTCAACAAGGCAACAAATGATCATAACTAATTTGTATAGTTTGTAGAGGGCTCCATCATAATCATCATCATCCATGACCTATCGACTGCTGGATGAAGGTCTTCCCAATCCATTGCCATCTATGACAGCGACGCGATGTTCCAATTCACCAAGCACCGGTACATCTGGCACCAGTACACGAAAAACTAAACGAGAAACTATTTTCAATGTTACCAGATAAAGGCACACTGAGCTATATAGCTCTTTATCAGAAGCGACCTGGCCACAAATGATAGCTCAACGAAGTGGCTTATCACGTGGAAAAGTAAAGCAGTAGCCAAATATTCAATAACGCACGTCGATTCTAAATGCGGAGGGAAAAACCGGAGGACCCAGAGAAAAATCCACATGACCACAGAGAGAGAGACACCGCAAACTCCAAATATATGAGTGTCAGGCTCGGGATTGAACCCACGACCTCCTGTATACCAGGCGAGGTAATTAACATCTCGTCACCTCTTGGACGTGTTCCCTCCCTTGGCTGTCGCTCCCTCATTAGTCGTGACCCTCGGCCAGCATCTCTCGTAGCGACGTGCCCTGCCTGCCCTGCCCAGGCTCACACTTCTAATTGGACGCTAAGTTGCACAGGCTCAATTTGAAATCCTGTTTGCGCCAAACATATTCTCACATGTATCAGGTGATGTTAGAAATAAATGCAAATAAATATTTGAAGTCTCTGAATCTTAACAACTCGAGGCTGTGGTATTTTACTTTATCAGTTCTATTTCTCATCCATCATCTCACAATCTTTAGAATCAGAATGTGTATTTATGCTGGAGAAATCCGATGAGCTGTGAAGCTCTTTTTCACAGATGTGGCTCTGCTTTGCTGATGTTCACCTTTGAGTGCTTTATTTTAAAAAAATATCATTCGCTTTTCCCCAGTTTCATCCCGATTGTGCTATCGGTGTCATGGCACAAGACGAAGGATATCCATTCCGGACCCTCATAGAACAGCGCAACCCTCCTGCCTGAGTCAAACCGATATTTAAAAATTCACAGAGCTGCAATTTAGTTAATTTTGGTGCGAATACAAATTGAACGCGATGCGGTTATTTTTTTCATCAGTCATTTTGGCGACCGGGTTGAGATGACCGACGGCGCTACGCCTGAGAGTACGAATTAATCACGGGGCGCCTGGAACCCGGATTCGAACCCAGGTTCTCAGTGGTGCCAGCTAACAGCATCCGACCTCTGAGTCATCCAGCCACCTTCCTTATCCTAAAATGCGTTTGACAGTTAATTTTTCTCACCCCCACGGCCCCCCGGCAGCCCCCGTTTCATAAACAGTACAAAATGTGACGGACATGGATACAATGATTGTTTACGTGGACGTTTATATCGTTGTGAAATAAAGTAAACAAAAATAACAGTTTGTTTTTCCAACTTGATAAACTCATTTCATGGTGGGGTTTTTTTGTAAAGCACTCAACAACATCCGTTATATATATAATAATATTTCACAGACAGGCAACAGATATGCGCATCATCCGATACAGCATCCTCTGCATCAATGTTATCCAGCAGTATATATATATTTTTAAAGCAGGCAAACTGTCAACCCGATTCAACTTCTCTGTGTCTCGTCAGTAAGGTGTGACCAGTGAATTTAACTGTCATGTAATGAGAACGTCTGCATATTTTTTGGGAATATATAAATTTAACTTCAAATACATCTTTACGATAAGCCGGGGAGTGGCAGGATAGTAACTTGAACGCTATGCACGGATTGGCAGTCATAGCACAATGTGCGAGTTTGATCCTCAGCTACGGCCTACAGTGGTCAATGCTATCTGAACTTATTCTGGGTCCCCAATTCAACCAATCTGTACTGAATGACGTGGTGAAGTACGGTCAAATAACCCCCATGACCAACACAGATAAACTCCCCCACCATGACCCACACCTCCGAATAGCACGGTTGGCTACGTACGGTGCGAAAGAAGTGCAATATCAGTTTAATACGTAGGCTTTCACGACCAATATTATCCATAAGAGGTTTTTTGGGTCAGTTAGCGTAAATCTAAATGTGTCGTTAAACCCGCCACCACCCGACACAGCCAATTACCAAGGTTTGTCACGTAAACAAAACGTGCCAATTCGTTGCTAGTACAGCACACCTGTGTGTTGGAGAGTAAGTCCACGACATTTACAATTCGAGTACGACGTTTCGCCAGTAATTACAACTAGCATCATCAGGCGACAGCCAGATTTGCGGAAGAATCCTGCTATTTCGGTCTTAAATACGGAGCAAAGTTATGTACATACGACATGGATGGGTCTTTATCAAGCAACATTTTTTTAATTGTTACTTTGGGATAATGCAGTGAATTAAGGCGGAACCAGACAATATGAGAGAGTACCAACGAGAGAAAAAGGATTTGATTCTTGAAACTAATACAACTGGAATTGCGGGGAGGGGGGGGGAGTTGACTCGTTCGATTCCAATCAAGGCGGTATAATCATCACCAGCATCATCATTACAAGCAGGACGATCGTCATCACTGACAGCTGCTGCGGTAGCAGTATCATGATGCATTCTGAAAGTACAACCAGGAAAACAGGGAATTCAGTACCCATAATTAATTTCTATTGGCAATGTGGTAATAAATGAACAAGCAAATAAGGACCAATGGTTGATAAAAAAATATATAAGTTGCAAGACAGTAGACATAAAAAAAATATATAATAGCCCACAACAAAATATTAGTTTTAGATAAACTAGCACTGCCCATGCATTTGGGCATGGTGGAGAGTGGCTGGGAGTGGGGGGCGTGACGACAGCATGACGCACGTACTGGAATGCAGGTGACGTCATAATGCAGGTGTGCGTTGTGCCGTCATCACCGCCACTTAGTGGCGAATGGCGGTTGTTGTTGTTGTTATCACCGTGCACTTGGCTGCCCGCACGCACGCCAGCCAGTCCATTCGGGTCTCGTGCAGAGAGCACTGGAACTCTCCCGGGTTAGAGAATAACCCACGGAAGCAGATATCACAGAGCTACCTCTGAGATCCCTTCCAAGTGACTTCTGTTCCACACACAGTAGAGGGCAGCACTTTCCAACCCAACCCTGTCACTTCAAAAGGAATGTTCATCGCATAATGCTCGGGAATTCTGCCAAATTAAGCGCAAAACTAAAATTGAATGTGACAGATTTATTTGCGCCAGTCATTGGTGACTGGGTTGAGATCATCAACTCGCTACACTTGAGAAACCCGGCTGAGTCAAAGTCGGCTGAAACCCGCATTGGAACCCAGGATTCCCAGCGGCTCTGGCTCCGGCTCAGCGCTCTGACTCCTGAGCCACTCCGGCCACTCCACAAGACATCACGGCGTAAGCGGCGTTCGCGATCCGTTATCGAGAATCACCCGGCGTCTCTAATAGCGAAAGCACGGAGTGCAATAAAACAAAACTTCTACCACTACCTGCACGGCGTGGCGAGGCACTCATCCAGCAGTGGATTGACAAAGGGGCTGTACGTGTACACGATAAGGCAATACACATCACAGTGAGATAACAGTGAAATGTAAACAGAAGAATAAGATTTCCATGGTGCTGGCTGATGGTCTTTTAACACGACCATTCTAAGTCGTCTGAGCAACCCAGCCACTTAAGGCTTTTCCCCAAATATTGTTTGGCCGAATCGCCCAATTGTATTCAATTTGTGTTATGCGCTATGCCAAATGAAGAAGACATTCCCATATGTAATGCTCACAGCGAGCAGTGCACTGTCCTGTGTCTGGAAACAGCCCCTGAAGATGATGTCATAGGACTACTTTCACTTCAATTCACTACAAACCCAGGTCTCTTTATCCTGATTTGGGGAACACCAAGCATCTGCTCTGTAGAGCGTTCATTCCATATATATATAAAAACCTGAAAACGTTCTCGGCGCTGTAGGTTTAGTTGAATTAAGGGAAAAGTTAGAGCGAATACGCTATTTGTTGTGCAGTTGCTGCTCACCAGGCCAAGAAGATCAATGTATTATACTCTAGGAAAGCGTTTCACGTTAAAACACTTCGGATTTACCATTCTCAGCTTTTCAATGAAAACTTTGGATCGACGACGAGTATCATTTAGACTTTGTTATCGACTCGTGTGCCTCCGGCATTACAATGCCAGGCGCCACCATCCCACCCCCCCCCCCCCCGACCGAGGAAAACAGCCAAAGCGACATTGACATAATTGACGACGTTAACTTCCTTTTTGCAGTTTAACACGTAGGCTTTTGCGACCAATAATATTATTCATAATAAAGGTTTTTGGGTTAGATCACGTAAGTATAAATGCGTCGTATCCCTCCACCACCCGACACAGCCAATTAGCAAGGGATTTGTCACGTAAACAGACGCCAATTAGTTAGTTCAACCCACCGGTGTGGATTTACTCTTGAGTACTTAAATTGTAAATGTTGTGCATTTACTCTCAAACACACCGGTGGGCTGCAGTAACTAATTGGCGTTTGTTTACGTGACAAATCCCTTACTAATTGGCTGTGTCGGGTGGTGGAGGGTTACAAAACGTTCCCTTTTACAGTTCAATCTGAAACTCGTCTCGAAAATTTTGGTACCTAGGTCCGATTTTTTTTCGGATGACGCCAAAATCGGGAGACGCATCCCTTGGACACTCGAGAGAGAGCCCCGGCTTGATCATAGTTGGGGTGGCTGAAACCTGCATTAAAACCCAAAGACATTGGCGTTTTCAGCTCAAGTCTCTCTGACATGGCTATTATTAACCCCCCCCCGCCCCTTAGCGGCCGTCCCGGCCACATCACCTCACCTCACTTCTCACCACGATTAACGCAAAACCTCTCGAAGCCGGACTCAATTTTTGGGGAGAACCTTTCCAGTTAAGGCATACTGACACAAATGTGAACTAAAAACACATCACTGTCAACACAAAAAAATTACATCTACACGTGTAATTTACACCTGACGCGTTTAATTACAAATTAACCAAAGATTTACAATATCATATTTACATGTTTTTTTCTCGTAACAGTTCTATCCGAGTCACTTACCATCGGCATGTAGCAGAGAGGGAAAGCTGAAGCTCACTGGATGTGGAAGTATGAAGAGATTTTCTGACAGGCTTGAAGGATTTATTCTATTTTTTTTTTAAACATTTTAAGAGAGTACATACCAGACCACGTGGCATCCAAGGGCACGGGCTCAACGAATACCAATCAACAGATAAGTCTATCGCTTTAGAATGACTCATACGCCATTGCACGTCAATTGCGTTTCTTACAATGGTCGGGGGGAAGCGTGTTACATTTCCCAACGTTGATAAGCGCATTTGAGAATTCCTACACATGATCGGCACCGAGCTTTAGGACGCGGTAAGCTGATGGATTGACTGCAGAACAATTTGTCATAATTAGCGTACGGACTAATTAGCGTGCAAAGTGATCCAGTCAGATATTTTTGGTTTCATCATCATCATCAGCCATGAACAATCAACTGCTGGATGAAAGCCTCCACAAGAACACTGTCACCTCTCATGGTCGGACGATGTAAAGATTCGCCGAGCACCTGCGCACCAACTGATTTTATCGCTCCATATCCTGATGGACGCCGCATTCAGACAACATTCCATTTTTTGGTCTACTTATTTATTATCGGGTATACCTTTCCAGCATACCGCCACATTCCGGCTGACTCGGGCCTGGCTTTGAGAGGTTTTTTTTTTGTTGTTGCTGAAGCATTACTCCCGCGATTACCATCACCGGACGAGACTTCTCGCGATCACTCCGAGTCGACCTGGAGCGAGGTGTCGCTGCACGGCTCCCCGCTGAGGCTCGGCTCCTCGCTGAGCGGGTCCTCGCTGCTCAGGAAGTCGCACTCCTCCTCTTCGTCCTCCTCGGTCGCCGTCGCCACTCGTCGGTTGCCGTTCTCGTCGGCCCTGCGCCAACCCGCGGGTCCGCCATCGTCACCGTCCGGGAGCCACTCGGGCCAGTAGCGCTTGCGCATGCGGTGGCAGAACGCCACGAGGCTCGGCAGTTCCTCTGCAACGGAGACGGAAGGAGTGAACGGTGCAGGAAAGTAACGATGGATGTATGTTAAAAAAAAAGAGAAGTAAATCTATTTCTATTTTCCATAATAGAGGTTTTTGTGTCAGATCGCGTAAACATAAATGTGTTGTGAAGCCCGCCACCACCCGACACAGCCAATGTTTGTCACGTTAACAAAACTTGCCAATTCGTTACTAGTTCAGCACACCGGTGTGTTGGAGAGTAAACCCACAACATTTCGCCGGTAATTACAACCAGCATCATCAGGCGACAGCCAGAATTTAGGAGAAATCCTCCTGTTTCGGTCTTAAATAGAGGTAAATGTGATGTTTTTATTTTACCAGGTAAGGCCCGCTGAGCTGTATATCTCTTTTTCAGAAGCGACCTGAAATGTATTGCAGCCATCTACTCTAAACACGTTTCTAAACGTGGAGGGAAAAACCAGAGGTTCCGGAGAAAAATCCACGCGACCACAGGGAGAATATGCAAACTCCAAATATACAGCAGGCGTCAGGGTTGGGATCAAACCCTCGATCTCCTGTATACCAGGCGAGGGAGATAACATCTCGCCACCGCAGCGCCCATGTGTGTATGCATGTTGAACTTCTTTCGCATCGTACGTAGCCAAGCGTGCTAACGGGAGGTGCAGGGAAAGGACAAGAAACTAAACAGAAAAAGCAATTCCAAAGATTTAAAAGTGCATAGCTTCAGTGGTTTCCTAATATCCGAAGGAAGAGCGTTCCAGACAGCCGCAGAAGCACGCTACTTATCGCGAGTGTTTTCTCTTTCGCAAGGTGATTATAATCCAAGCGTGAGAGTTGAAGACGCCCGCGGTAAGTAGTGCGCGATGATAGTTTGAGATGAGAAATTCTCAACGGAGCAGCCCAACCTGCAGAATCACGCTTGGGATTTTTAATTGATTCGTTGATTGAAATTGACCTCTCACGTACCACAGGGATCCAAGGACTGACCCCTGTGGTACGCCAACTAGGCACAAACGTCCACATATAAACAATTAAGTCGCATGCAACCGAGTTGAGCAACTGATCGCTCAGGTGTGGACCCGGGGTTTACACTATACCACATATTGTCGTGTCGCCATGGACACCCTTGCACACGAGATATTTCATCTCTAGGGATTTTGCGGGTATTACAAAAATAAATGCAGGCATATCGCGCGGCAGCATTACTCACCGGTGAGCAGCTGGTGCGGTCGCGAGCCAGGCAACAGCCACAGCGCGATGGAGAGGTGAGCGAAGACGCAGGCATCTGTAGCGCCCGGTCGGTCACCCAGCATGTAGCGCTTAGTTCCTGGGAACGTACAACAGCAGCAGCCACCATTCGCCACTAAGTGGCGGTGACGTCACCACAGTGCTTCTGCTAGGTTGGATGCACTGAGGCCACGTGAAGTGTCAAAGGTTTGCTGGCAGGCCATGGGACAGAGCCAGAATGTACACACGTCACAGGAACATACGGAGACAAAGATCCCCGTACAGTCTTCAAAGACTGTTGGGGCAAGTGCTGTTAACAAACACCTATGAAGGCCGGCACGGCACACAAAGGGGTAGATGGCCAACACCACGCCCGGCCGCCTTTGTCTCCCGAGTGGCGATGTTTACACACCGCACCAGGTACTTATTTGAGGCTGAGTCGATGGAAACATACACACACATGCACAAAGACAAAGGTCACCCATATAGTCTTATAGAAGCTGTTTGGGCAAGGGCTGTTAGCGAACACATACGAAGGCTGGAACTGTAAGGTCGGGCAGGTGGGGTGAGCACCAGTGCTGAAGTATATACAGCACGCAAGATACTAATATAAGGCTGAGTTGGCCTCGGGGAGGCGAAGTAAACTTCTGATATTTACCACTGATGTTGGCCATGGCTGGGAATCAAATTCAGATCACGGGTTCGCCGCGCAGTAAGCTAAATACTACGCCACCACTCCCCAGACAATGTGGATTAATCCTTGGCAAAAACCTTTCCCAGTCAGCGGACTAAGAAAGGAAACACGCGAGTAGATTTTAGAATTCAGTACGGTCACCATTTTTTTTTTTATAAAGGGGGACCACCAAGGCATCCTTCCTAAGGTGTAGAACCTGTCCAGTGGTTCGAGCAGTTATAATCATTTCATGTTAGGCAGTGTGCGCACAAACTCTCTCAGCAATTCACTTGGGAGATCATCCCTGCCCAGTGCTTTAACAGGTGTCAGGTTCTTCACACCTGCTCAGCACACATACCCAAACAGCCACACACACACACATGCTATTAATGAGCACCTATGAAGGCCGGCATGGCACATGAGGGGGTGAGTAACCAGCACCGCGCCCGGCCGCCTTTGTCTCTCCAGTGGCAATTGTGCTGATGTTTACACACCGCGCCAAGTACTCATTTTGAAGGCGAGTCAACCCAGGGGAGGCCCAGGACCGGATGAAATGATCGTCACTTGTGTTGGCCGTGAGCGGCAATCGAACGTGGGTCACCGGGTTCGCAGTGCAGTGCGCGAACCGCTGCGTCACCGCTCCCCACTAGACACGCAGAATAGTTCTAGTTAACGTGCCATTTAATTGAGGCACTGCGTGTTATCTTGGTGTGGTCTGGGACTGTTTTGTTGTTATTTTTGCAACCTTGCGCATTCTTGATAAATCGGGACGTATTACCTACTATAATCACCCAGAAATGTCTGTCTGTCCCGCGCGTGACGTCACTGCACATGAGGCCCACCCCCCTCATTAATATTCATGAGCGGGTGGATTTTTACACTAACGCAGAGGAAGGTCGAGCTGAATTAAATAATTTATTATGCAAAGTCGCTTCAAATGACGTTTCTTTACAGAAAGTGACGGTAAAAAATAAATCTACGCAGCAGAGTGCTACTTCCGTGAGTGACGTCACTGCAAAAGAGGCCCCCCCCCCCCTTCATTAATATTCATGCCCGCGTGGAAATTTACACGAACGCGCAAGAAGGTCGCGCACTCCACATGCCGCACCCCTCCCCTCATTAATAATCATGAGCGGATGACTAAACTCCAGATGCCGCAACCCTCCCCTCATTAATAATCATGAGGGGGTGACGTCACTCCAGATGCCGCACCCCTCCCCTCATTAATAATCATGAGGGGGTGACGTCACTCCAGATGCCGCACCCCTCCCCTCATTAATAATCATGAGCGGGTGACGTCACTCCAGATGCTGCACCCCTCCCCTCATTAATAATCATGAGCGGGTGACGTCACTCCAGATGCCGCACCCCTCCCCTCATTAATAATCATGAGGGGGTGACGTCACTCCACATGCCGCATCCCTCCCCAATAACCATTAGCGGTGACGTCACTCCACATGCCGCACCCCTCCCCTCATTAATAACCATGAGGGTGACGTCACTCCAGATGCTGCATCCCTCCCCAATAACCATTAGCAGGTGACGTCACTCCACATGGGGCACACCCCCCCCCCCCTCATTAATAATTATGAGAGGAACAATTTTTCTATTGAATATTTCAGATTTAATGCAAAAGACACCTGTCCTTGGACGGGCAAGAAAGCTAGTATAATAAAGGTTTGTATTATTATTGATTCATATTTAGTGACTTGCTTACTCTTTTCTTTATTTTGCACTCCTATCGTGTTTTTGTATACAGTGAGGTAAAAAAATATTTGATCCTCTGCTAATTTTGTACGTTTGCCCACTGACAAAGAGATGATCAGTCTATAATTTTAATGGTAGGTTTATTTGAACAGTGAGAGACGCATGTCAAAAATGTTATAAATTGATTTGCATTTTAATGAGGGAAACAAGTATTTGACCCCCTCTCAATCAGAAAGATTTCTGGCTCCCAGGTGTCTTTTATACAGGTAACGAGCTGAGATTAGGAGCACACTCTTAAAGGGAGTGCTCCTAATCTCAGCTTGTTACCTGTATAAAAGACACCTGTCCACAGAAGCAATCAATCAGATTCTAAACTCTCCAACATGGCCAAGACCAAAGAGCTCTCCAAGGATGTCAGGGACAAGATTGTAGACCTACACAAGGCTGGAATGGACTTAAAGACCATTGCCAAGCAGCTTGGTGAGAAGGTGACAACAGTTGGTGCGATTATTCGCAAATGGAAGAAACACAAAAGAACTGTCAATCTCCCTCGGTCTGGGGCTCCATGCAAGATCTCACCTCGTGGAGTTGCAATGATCATGAGAACGGTGAGGAATCAGACCAGAACTACACGGGAGGATATTGTCAATGATTTCAAGGCAGCTGGGACCATAGTCACCAAGAAAACAATTGGTAACACACTACGCAGTGAAGGACTGAAATCCTGCAGCGCCCCCTGCTCAAGAAAGCACATATACATACATGCCCGTCTGAAGTTTGCCAATGAACATCTGAATGATTCAGAGGACAACTGGGTGAAAGTGTTGTGGTCAGATGAGACCAAAATGGAGCTCTTTGGAATCAACTCAACTCTCCGTGTTTGAAACATTATGCTTTGGGGGTGTTTTTTTCTGCTAAGGGGACAGGACAACTTCACCGCATCAAAGGGACGATGGACGGGGCCATGTACCGTCAAATCTTGGGTGAGAACCTCCTTCCCTCAGCCAGGGCATTGAAAATGGGTCGTGGATGGGTATTCCAGCATGACAATGACCCAAAACACACGGCCAAGGCAACAAAGGAGTGGCTCAAGAAGAAGCACATTAAGGTCCTGGAGTGGTCTAGCCAGTCTCCAGACCTTAATCCCATAGAAAATCTGTGGAGGGAGCTGAAGGTTCGAGTTGCCAAACGTCAGCCTCGAAACCTTAATGACTTGGGAGAAGATCTGCAAAGAGTGGAACAAAATTCCTCCTGAGATGTGTGCAAACCTGGTGGCCAACTACAAGAAACGTCTGACCTCTGTGATTGCCAACAAGGGTTTTGCCACCAAGTACTAAGTCATGTTTTGCAGAGGGGTCAAATACTTATTTCCCTCGTTAAAATACAAATCAATTTATAACATTTTTGACATGCGTTTTTCTGGATTTTGTTGTTGTTATTCTGTCTCTCACTGTTCAAATAAACCTACCATTAAAATTATAGACTGATCATTTCTTTGTCAGTGGGCAAACGTACAAAATCAGCAAGGGATCAAATACTTTTTTCTCTCACTGAAGTTTCCTGTTGTAACTTGCTGACCCCGTGCCCATACTGGACATCTGTGAAAAAAAGAGCCTCACAGCTCATCGGATTCCTCCTGCAGTCTAAATAAAGATCGCCGACTCTGACGCGCGACACGCGCGCAACCCGTGTCTCACCCAGGATGTTGGCGACGGCGCGGATGTCGCTCTCGATGGCGCGGTGCGCCTCCTGCGGGCAAGCGGCCCACGCCAGCCCGTGCGCCGCCAGCTCACGCCGTAGCTCGGCGCACACGAGGCCGCAGCGCAGGCGCGCGTGCAGGCGCGGGAAGGGCCCCGTCACGTGCACCAGCCGGCGCATCGTCTCCGCGCACTCCAGCCACTGCACGCTGCACAGCGCCCTGCGGGCACGGGGGCGAGACAGACACCGCTCCCTCCACCCCACCGTGTAGCCTACCGCATGGACCCGCTGCTGCGGCAAACGCCGTCAGCGAGCACCCACAAAGGCCGGCACGGCGCCCGTCCGCCTTTGGCTCCCCTTTGTTGATACTTACACAGAACTCCTGTGAGGTCCGGGTTGACCCAGGAGAAAATGTGATCAACAAAAAAATCCTGGGCATCAAACAGGTCAATAAGTTCAAGTAATTCTGTGCAATGGTAGTAAGCGAGGAAGGTGGGTATGAGTTTGAGAATAAGGGTAAGAGTCAGGGCATTATGGCATAAATGGCGAGCTATTTGACGAATTTAATGTGATAGGAAGATGCCCTGCAAACTAAAAGGTGTTCTGTGGGCACTAAGGAAGAAGAAATAAGACAGGGTGCTTTTAAGGACAATAGATAATGCCGAGATGAGAAATTGAAAATTTCTCTAACAGATAAGGAGACGGAATGAAGAGGTTAGAGCTTCAGAGCATGGAGACCTGGGTGGTTCAGGAATGTTTTGAGAAGAGTCAAATAAGATGCATTTGGAAGAATGGCCATGGAGACAACACCAGTGCAGAGCAGCAAAAGTAGAAGAAGGCTGAGAGGAAGATGGGAGGATGTGGTGGACTAAAATAAGATAATGGCTGTTACGAAAGAAGGACAGAGAAGAGGTACACAGAAAAACAAACTCGGAATATCTAGCCCCATGCAATGATGGGATTTTTGGCTGAGAAGAATATCTAAATTTACTGGTCTCTATGCAAGGGTGTATGTAAATATATGGTTATCTATGTAGGCCTATGGATTATGACCACGATGAAGTCCATAGCAATGAATGGCCTACATAGTTTAAGAAAGTCTATGGGTCTACATGTAAGTCAATCGGTCGGTATGTAAGTCTGTGGGAAGTCTACAGGTCTGTATGTAAGTCTACGAGTCTGTATGTAAGTTTACGGGTCTGTAGGTAAGGTCAGTGAATGCGACGAGAGTAGATGCACAATCTCTGAGCAGCGGATCCCGTGCAATTTATTGGACTTGGAGAAATACAAAATGACCCTCTTACACTACCAGTATGTGTGGTCCTCCAGCATCTTGATGACGGCGCGCGCCACCCCGCACTGGTGAGCGCTGGCGGGCAGAACTGCCGAGTCACCGGTGAGCGACTCCATGAAGTCTCGGACGGCCTCGATGCCCTGCACGGCTTGCGTCTTCCCGTGTCCGCACGGGACCTCCAGCCATGGTGAAACAGCGTGCGGGGGCAGCCACGCGTCGCTGCACACCTAGGGGACGCGCGCACAACCGCCCCCGCACGGACGCACGGACAGACAGACGGATGCATGGACAGACAGACGGATGCATGGGCAGACGGACGGGCGGGCAGATGGACAAATGGGTATGTGGATAGATACACAGAGACAAAGATAGGCACGTGGGGACATGGATGGATGCATGGGATGGAAGGACAAACACATGGGCAGATGAACACGTAGACATGTGGGAGAACGGACACACAAATGGACTGATGGACACATGGAATCAACAATGGACATGAACATATACACAGACACAAAAAAGGGCACAGACGGACATATTCATGGACAGAAATACACAGCAACATTGACAGACCTACAGAGAGACAGAAATACAGACATATGGATACAGAGACACACAAACACATGCCAGTTTAAGCAAAGGGAAACTTTCAACTTTTTTTGGCTTTAAAGGAATTTAATTTCCAATGACAGGCCAAACACATCGCTATACATAGCACAAGAACTCACGCACAATCACGTAGGCAAGGGCAGAGATCCTTCATCACACTGCAGTAACACAAACATTCACGTGATAATCAAAACTTCAATTAAAAAATGCAAAAATAGCATAATTCTCCAACGTAGTAGTCACGATGATGTAAATAATAGAAAAAATATAATAACCTGCACAATCGTGGCATCTTGCATGCAGCCATATGCGCCGATACATCTACACACACCAATAACAAGAAACGAATCAAAGCAGCACAAATTATGATACAATTTAATATGCACTTAACAATACATCGATTCATTATAACAGGTTACGCTCGTGATAGAAGCATCGAATCATACATGTAGGAACGAGCAAGTTACAATTCATTCAAATGACATGCTAATTACATGCTAATGCTACTTTTGGCGAAAGAAAACTAACGGGACGGGCAACGCAAATGAGGCCGTGCAGATGAGAGACAAAACAAGCGAGACAAAACGAGCATGCTAAGCACCGTGCAAACAAGACAACCAGGCAGCCCAAACAGACCAGGCAGCACAAACAGGAAGGCATAAACAAACACACACAACACAAATGAGCCAACAACTAAAAAAATAAGTGATTCCAGAATACAAATCTGACACCTACCCTCGGTTCGATGGGTGAATTGTCACACATGGCAACCAACGGTTTCGTGGCATCGCGTAATTTGGAAAGGGCCCTGTGGTGGAAGGAATTAAATCGCCCCCCCCAACCGCCCCCACCACCGCTCACCATCTCAGCCTGTCCAATTCCCCAACCTCTTCATAGCCTAGGCCTCCTCCAGCCTATTGGGTCTCGATACAGTTGCACGGCCTGCACACAGAAGCTGCGGCTCGATATTTTGGTGCCTGGGGCAATGTGCCACCGGTCCCACTGCTGTGGTGCTGAAACCGTCTACGAGAAACCTTATCCACTGGCCGCCACCGCTTGCCTCGTTTCAAACTAATCGGTCGCGCGTTCGGAACGGGGTCCACCTCGGCCGAGGGTGCGCTGCGGGGGCCGACTCGGCTACCACTGCCTCTGCACTGGACATCTGTGATATCGGACATCTGTGCAAAAGCGCTTTATGGCTCATCGGATTCTTCCAGTGTAAATAAATATTCTGACACGGCACCGGCCTGCACGCACACAAACAGCCACGCCAATGTGCCGCGATGCGGCACAGCGCCGAAACGAAAGGGTCCGAGTTGGACACGCGAAACGTGGTCTCGCCTTGTAGGGCAGCCGTGCCATTCGCAGATGCGTCTCAGCGGTGAGGCACGCGGGGTAGAGACTGGGAGCGCCGCCCCTAGGCCGAGCGTGCTGGTGCAGGATCACGACATCCCCGCTCGCATCGTCAGCCACAGTGCACCTGGTAACCAACACGAGCGCACACACAGCACATCCACAGCCATCTCACAGTCACAATTTGCCTTCATATTTGAAACAGCTGTTGCTGGTGTGTATATAATTTTTTTTCTCGTTGTATACAATTTAATATTTTTTTTATGTTCATGAGTAGTTTATGAGGAGCCAGTTGAGGTGGTCCGGGTACCTGGTAAGGAAGCTCCCCAATAGACTCGCCCGTGGAACTCTACCGGGCGCGTCCCACTGGGCAAAGAACCCAGGACAAGCTGGTGGGACTATGTCGCTCAGCTGGCCTGGAAATGCCTGGGAATTCCCCAGGAAGAGCTAGAGTCTGTCGCCAGGGAAAGGGAGGTCTGGACCGCCCTACTCAACATGCTGCCGCCGCAACCCTCACCAGGAAAAGCGGACTGAGAAACGAATGAACAAATGTTTATGAGTGTTAACGTGATGATGGCGCTTTGAGTGGTATATTTGCGCTGGAAAGGCGCCACACATGTAAGCAGAAATAAATTGACTTGACTTCCTCGTGATAGCGATGATAGTATGTATATTCTTGGTTCTTTCGGTAAAGTCACATAGAAGGGAAACAATAAAATAATAAAAATATAAAACAATAAAATTCTCACGACGTTTCGACTGCAACACAAGCAATCATCATCAGGTGTGAAAACCACAGCAATATATTTTTTTAAAGTGGCGGGTTTTTTTTACGTTAGCACCACGGAGAGCGATTTGGTAGTTATTCAGATGGACAAGTCCATCTATGTTCGGAAAAGAGGAGGGGGGAGACGAAAATAATGGATGCGGTCTGAAAGCCACCGTAAGCGTGAACAATCAATTAAGATCCGAAATGGTTTATCAAATCCTTCCAATGATTGCTAAGCCAGAATCCATCTTCTCGGTTGAAATTGTCTCTGTGTTTGTATATGTGGATAGCCTCATGAACGAATCTCTCATGGTAGCCAGATGGCTTGCAAAGAACCTCTGTCTTGGAGAAGTCAATGTCATGTGAGCCTAGTGAATTATAACAGTGATCTGCTACGGCCGAGGTGTTGGTCCTACCGTGTTTTAGGTCTGCTTTGTGTTCACAAATGCGGTCCGAGACATGTCGTTTGGTTTCTCCAATGTAACTACTACCACAGAGGCAACTTAGTGTGTAGACGCCAGGGTAATGTATGTCCGGAATCACATCTTTTACAGACAACCAGATCACGGATTTTATGTAATGTGTTGAATTGGACCTGGATCTTGTGTTTATTCAAGATTTTGGAGATATTTTATGTGATCCCCGCAATGTAGGGTAAAGTGATAGTTTTGAAAGGCTCCTCAAGAAGGTCCTTCTTCATGGTTGGAGTGATAGCTTTGCAGATTGTGTAGTCGGAGTAACCATTAGCCTTAAAAGCTTGGTGTACGTGCTTGAGTTCACTGGCTATGTGTACCTGGTTGGATATGCATTGGGCTCTATGGTGCAGAGTCTTGATGAGGGAATTCTTCTGGGATGGATGGTGGTGGGAATCCGGTTTCAGGTAAGCATCCGTATGGGTAGCTATCCTGTAGACAGAGTGGCTCATTGAACCATCAGGTCTCTTTTTTATTAAGACATCCAAAAAAGGTAGCTTGCCATCTGTTTCGACTTCCATGGTAAATCTGATGGCTGGGTGTATGAAATTGATGTGGTCGAAGAATTGGCCTAGAGAATTTTATTGTTTTATATTTACTTATTTTATTGTTTCCCTTCTACGTGACTTTACCGAAAGAACCAAGAATATGAATTGAATCATTGCACTTTTTGTGGATTGATTATGGTTAATGATGAAAATAATGTATGCAGCCGCCTATTAATAATGTACCTGCATGGTTTCATTTCAGCCGAAGTAGTCCGAAAAGCTGTTCCGGGAATTATTTTGGCATACCACAGCCATCTCTAATTATGTTGTCCTCTTGATACTGCTTCATTCTTATTAACCTATTAGAGTTTATAGGAATACATGCTACAACAATATAGTTGTATTATGGATATGTGCACCTTGTCCTCCCGTGGTAGTGCATTGCGCCAATAATGCCTACTCCGAGGCCTAGCAGTTTTCCGGATAATATCGAGTGAGAAATGAATCCATCCCCCTGTGCCATGGTAGCGCAGCCATGTGCAGGCAGTCTGCGCGGTCCACCTACCCCTCGCCTCCAAAGCGCTAGATTTTGCGCGTGTGCTGCACACCAAGCTCATTGTGTAACCTCTTACCCCTTTCCTCTTCTCCCCATCTCTCCACCCCATCGCCGGACAGAACCGCTACGTGATGGCTGTCAATGTGCGTCGCGTACCTGGCGTACATGTATGTATGTTGAACTTCATTCACACCTTACGTAGCCAACCACACTAATCGGAGCGCTATGGATAAGCTACGTCCTGGGCGTAAAATGTTAAAGTTCAGGCCTGTAATGGCTTGCTCTTACCACTGCTGGCGGAAGGGCCTCCATTACGAAGAAGCCCTAGAGACCCCCTCCAGAGGGTACTTTGGCCTCCTATTCCACCCCATCACACGTGACCTTGCTGATCGACTCTGGTAAACCCATTTATACCTCTGGGTGCTCAGAGGCGGCGGGGAAGGGTGGATTGAAAAAAAATGCACCATCGTTACAACTGCCAAACAGGCAGATGTAATCGAAACAGCAACCTCTGGATTGAAAGCCCAGTGTGTTGACCCTTGTATGTATGTTGAACTTCTCTCGTACCGTACGCAGCGGGGGAAGGACTCTTTACACCACAATAGTAGGATAACAGATTCAGATTTCAACAGACCAAAATAAATAAAAAATACTTCACCTGGTAGATATGATCACCTCGCGGATGATGAACGCCGCCGTGGCAAGCAGCGCCCCGCCCGCTACCCACAGTGCTTTGCGGCACCAGCTCACGTCTCCTGTGCAAGCTGGGGGGCTGCCCCCAATGTCTCCGCCGCCACCGCCTGCCAGCAGCGACAGGAACCCGGCCTGGGTGGCAGGGCACCCCGTTCCGCCAATTCCACCGCCGCTGCCTCCTCCACCGCCACCGCCGCCACCGACTCCACCACACCCGCCGGTCTCCGCCAGACAGACCCCGCCAATCTTCTCGCCGGCCAACAGCGAGAGGAAGCAGGGCTGCAGTGGCGGCACCTGCCAGGAGCTCCATCCCCATTCGTACGTCAGCCACGCCCGTTGCCAGGCGCCGCCCACAGGCCACGGCGAGCACTGATTGGTCCACATCATTGCGAGCCGCTCCTCCACCTGTAAAAGGGGGTAAGTCCAAGGTGTCAAGTTTTGCTGGAGATTCATGATATTTCCCCACGCTGGTCAGTGCGTGTTTAATGAGGGCCGCCTCAGATATCGATTGCCAATGACTGTTAGCCGTGGCAGAGAATCTAACTCAAAGTCACTGGGTGAACTGTGCTTCACAATAATCATCAGCCATTGGCAATTTACTACTAATGGATGGTGGTCCTCCCATAGCCGTTGCCACCTCTCACGGTCCTGCAGTGTAGAAATCCATATAGTTCCTGCACAAGAGATGATTTCACCACCCTATTTCTTCAGTGGACGCCTAACTACCACTCCATTATTATTCTCAACCATCGGCCATGCCCTACCGAAGCCCACTTATTTTTATTAACAGCGTGTATTTGTTTTATTTAAAGCTTTCGTGACTGCAGGGATTCATATTCTTGGTTCTTTCGGTAAAGTCACGTAAAAGGGAAACAATAACATAATAAAAATATAAAACAATCATCATCAGGTGATGATGATAGCTTGTGTTGCAGTCGAAACGTCGTGAGAAATTTGTTTCTCACGACGAGCATTCCAAGCATTCATCTCTCTCGATGCCGTTGATGCAATTTTAAATATTTGTTGCTCTTTGTTTCATTTATGAATGACCACGTTTATGAACCAGAGCCATAGCAAGCATCACACGCTGGTTTGACGACGACACGTTCTTCTGTCAACAAACTGAAACTTCACTCGTCACGATCAAGTTCATTACTCCAAATTTGCTCTGCTATCGTCTGCCTTTCCAAATATTTTTTTATTGCAGATCGCTTTCAACAGCCTTCACAACCAGTATGAAGCTGTCAATTACTGTTGCTCTCTAGTGGCTGTCACATTAACCCGGTGACCTAGGGCAAGAAGACCACAGTGGACTTGTTCAGGAAATGTTGATGGCTTTTGCATGATGCCAATGATGCGTAAATCCGTAAGCATAATGCTTATGAATATGAATGCGTCGTTAAATCCACCACCACCCGACACAGCCAATAAGTAAGGTTTTTTCACGTAAACAGAGCATGCCAATTCGCTACTAGTATAGCACACCGGTGTGTTGGAGAGTAAATCCACAACATTTGCATGTCTAGATTTACGCGATCTAACCCAACAAAGCTGTATTATAGACAATATTGGTCGCGAAAGCCTACGTGTTAAAATTTTGATGCAGAGAAAGAAGTTCCGCGTCGTTCTATGCAGATCTCTGTAGCGACGTCAACATTTCTGATACAGAGGAGGAAGTTCGACGTCTCACACTGGAAGAAATAAACGCTGCCCCCGTTCGCACTATGAATACAGGGGTACACTCCTGCACCACATGGGATGTGGTGACTGTCGACATCACCAAAGAAGAGGTACCAATTGTAGCAGCGTCAGCATCCTGGCACGTGTTTACGAAGCGTTGCCACCTAAATTAAAACGCGCCTGCTCACGGTATACAACCATGGAATTCGAACCCCAGGCACCACCGACCACCCTCTCGGCTTCGCGTCTCTGACCTTTGAGCCGACACGATTCTATGCAGATCTCTGTAGCGACCTTAACATTTCTGATACGGAGGGGGAAGTTCCAAGTCTCACACAGGAAGAAATAAGCGCTGCCCCCCTTCGCACTATGAATACAGGGGGACACTCCTGCACCACATGGGATGTGGCGGCTGTTGACATCACCAATTGTAGCAGCTTCAGCATCCTGGCACGTGTTTACGAAGCGTTGCCACCTAAATTAAAACGCGCCTGCTCACGGTATACAACCATGGAATTCGAACCCCAGGCACCACCGACCACCCTCTCGGCTTCGCGTCTCTGACCTTTGAGCCGACACGATTCTACGCAGATCTCTGTAGCGACCTTAACATTTCTGATACGGAGGGGGAAGTTCCACGTCTCACACTGGAAGAAATAAGCGCTGCCCCCCTTCGCACTATGAATACAGGGGGACACTCCTGCACCACATGGGATGTGGTGACTGTCGACATCACCAAAGAAGAGGTACCAATTGTAGCAGCGTCAGCATCCTGGCACGTGTTTACGAAGCGTTGCCGCCTAAATTAAAACCAACTCACGATATACAACCATGGAATTAGAACCGCGGGCACCACCGACCACCACCACCACCGACCACCCTCTCGGCCTCGCGTCTCCGAAAACCTCTCGAGCCAAAGCCGAGGCTCAAGACCCCGCGCGTTGCGCGAATACTCCCTCACGTTCGTGGGTGGGGCAATAACAAACAACAACAACAACGACAAAAAGCAACGACTGCGGATTTCCCCTCACACCGACCGATGGAAATTGCACGTTCATGCGGCGAGGCCGAGTACGAGGCCCTCTGCCGCACAATCGCGTTTCAGCTGACGTAATAATGCGCGCTTCCGCGCAACGCACGGACGCATTTGCACGCAATTGTGGTCGTTGTTTAAAATAGAAGATGCATCGCGTTTAATATTTAACACGCCGTTGTCGTGTGACACACATATCGTCTATATGTATCTTCATAAATGTGTGTTACACGTACACGCACGTCGCGTGTACGGGTACAGAATCGCCCTTTAAATCGCGCGCGGGTCACGTTGCGAAATGCTTCACACATTAATCATAAGACTACATAAAAAATAAACATTCTTACCGTTTGGGGCGCCTTCAATTATTATTATTCTTTTTTTTTTAAAGCATCCTTAAAGAGAATCCCATCGCCCCCCCCGTCTCCCGCCAGCACGATAGGTAATTAAACGGAGAGGCGGCTCGTGAATGTGAGCTGAAGGTTGTGTATTATTTATACACGAATATTGTTGTTGTTGTTGTTGTTTTCCATTACAACTGGGGGCAATGCGGGCCGGGAGGGACGAATCTGCAGGGGCCGGGAGCGCGCGCCGAGTTTCCCTTCACGCGGTAGGGAGAGGGGGAGAGAGGGGGTGGGGGTGAGGGGGAGAGAGAGGGTGGGGGGAGAGAGGGGGTGGGGGTGAGGGGAGAGGGGGAGAGAGGGGGTGGGGGTGAGGGGGAGAGAGGGGGTGGGGGTGAGGGGAGAGGGGGAGAGAGGGGGTGGGGGTGAGGGGGAGAGAGAGGGTGGGGGGAGAGAGGGGGTGGGGGTGAGGGGAGAGGGGGAGAGAGGGGGTGGGGGTGAGGGGAGAGGGGGAGAGAGGGGGTGGGGGTGAGGGGAGAGGGGGAGAGAGGGGGTGAGGGGAGAGGGGGAGAGAGGGGGTGAGGGGAGAGAGAAGGTGGGGGGGGAGAGGGTGGGGGGAGAGAGGGGGTGGGGGGTGAGGGGAGAGAGAGGGTGGGGGGAGAGAGAGGGTGGGGGGAGAGGGGGAGAGAGGGTGGGGGGGAGGAGAGGGTGGGGGGAGGAGGGGGAGAGAGAGGGTGGGGGGGGAGAGGGTGGGGGGGAGAGAGAGGGTGTGGGGGAGAGGGTGGGGGTGGGGGGGAGAGGGTGGGGGGGAGGGGTGGGGAAGAGAGGGTGGGAGGGGAGAGTGGGGAAGAGGGTGTAGGAGAGGGTAGGGGTTTGGGGGAGAGGGTGGGGAGAAGAGGGGGGAGGAGAGGGTAGGGGTTTGGGGGAGAGGGTGGGGGTTGGGGGAGAGGGTGGGAGAAGAGGGTGGGGGTTTGGGGGAGAGGGTGGGGGGGGCACTGGGCGAGCGATCGCGCGCCCGCGCTTTCGTCGCGGTTGCCGCGGCAACGGCCGAGGCCGTTCGTGTGACGTCACCGCACTGAATGAACTGTCATGGAAGCCGGCCCAACACAACCGCAGCAACACAAAGCTGTCAACCCCTTGTCAGTGCCTCCCTTATTGCAGACCAACTCAGACGTCATTGGTCACCGCGTGCCCTTAGAGATCTCAACATTCATCCTACAAAGTGTCATCACAAGGGAGAAACACAAACACATAGACACCACTCGTACACTCAGAGGCCGTCCACAAATGACGTCACGCGATTTTGGCCGATTTTTGACCCCCCACCCGTCACACGGCGTCACGAAAAGTCAGACCTCCCTCAAATGTGACGTCACAAAGCTCTGCTCCTCCCCCCACCCCCCAAAACCATATTTCCATAAAAAAAAATTAAACATTCTTCAAATCGCTTTAAACTATTGTCATTGTAGTGCGTATTTAATGTGGCGCTGCACTCCGATGTTGTAGGAGAAAACATTTATTAAAAAGGAGGCGTTGGAAAGCTGAAATTTAGCATAAAATTTACTTGAAAATATTCAACGTCTAACTAAAACTGCAGATGTTCAGGATATTACGTTGAAATTCTCTTATAATTATAAAATATTTAAAGTAATTATAACTATTAAAAAAATACTTGAAACTTTGTAGTAGAACGAAGCAAAATGGAGAGTACAATTATAACAATCACATTTTCTGATTTAAAGCTTTCGTGACTGCAGTAATTCATATTCTTAGTTTTTTCGGTAAAGTCACGTTGAAGAGAAACAACAAAATAACAAAATATATATAAAACAATAAAAAAATTCTCACGACGTTTCGACCATAACTCAAACGGTCATCATCAGGTGTGTCGGTTTGCATAAATTTATTTAGAAAACGGCATATTTATTTATATATATAAAAATAACGTTTGCGTCACGCGCAACGATGGCAGTTTGCCAGGACTAGTCCATCTATTTTTTGAAAAGAGGAGGGGGGAGACGAAATTTGTTTTTATGTATGCTGTCTGAAAGGCACTGTAAGCGTGAACAATCAATCAAGAACTGAAATGATTTATCAAATCTTTCCAATGATTGCTAAGATAGAATCCATCTTCTCGGTTGAAATTGTCTCTGTGTTTGTATATGTGGATAGCCTCATGAACGAATCTCTCATGGAAGCCAGATGGCTTACAAAGAACCTCCGTCTTGGAAAAGTCAATGGCATGTGAGCCTACTGAATTAGAACAATGATCTGCTACGGCCGAGGTGTTGGTCCTACCGTGTTAAGGTCTGCTTTATGTTCACGAATGCGGTCCGAGATATGGCGTTTGGTTTCTCCAATGTAACTACTACCACAGAGGCAACTTAGTTTGTAGACACCAGGGTATTGTATGTCCGGAATCACATCTTTTACAGACGGAACCAGATCACGGATTTTATGTAATGTGTTGAAACGGACCTGGATCTTGTGTTTATTCAAGATTTTGGAGATCTTTTTTGTGATCCCAGCAATGTAGGGTAAAGTGATGGTTTTGAAAGGCTCCTCAAGAGGGTTCTTCTTCATGGTTTGAGTGATAGCTTTGCGGATTGTATAGTCGGAGTAACCATTAGCCCTAAGAGCTTGGTGTACGTGCTTGAGTTCACTGCTTATGTGTTCCTGGTCGGATATGCATTGGGCTCTATGATACAGAGTCTTGATGAGAGAATTCTTCTGTGATGGATGGTGGTGGGAATCCGGTTTCAGATAAGCATCCGTATGGGTAGCTTTCCTGTAGACAGAGTGGCTCATTGAACCATCAGGTCTCTTTTTAATTAGGACATCCAAAAAAGGTATCTTGCCATCTATTTCGACTTCCATGGTAAATCTGATGGCTGGGTGTATGGAATTGATGTGGTCGAAGAATTGGTCTAGAGCAGGCCGGCCATGTGGCCAGATGACAAAAGTGTCATCCACGTACCTCTTCCATAAGGTTGGGCGCAGAGTGGCAGTCTGGATGGCGTCAGTCTCAAATTTCTCCATGAAAATGTTAGCTATAACTGGAGAAAGGGGGGAGCCCATTGGGGTGCCCTCAGTTTGTTTGTAGAAAGTTCCATTCCAAGTGAAGTATGTATTGGTTAAACAGTGTCTCACCAGGGGGGGTACCTCAGTGTTTAGTCCTTGATGAACCAAGTCTTCAATGATTGCAATGGTGTCAGGTACAGGAACCTTGGTGAATAAGGAAACTACATCAAAACTGACAAGCAGGTCGTCTGGGGACAGGGAAATACCCTTGATTGTTGATACCAGGTGAGTAGAATTTTGTACCGCAGAGGTGGTCTTTCCAGTGAAAGGACGCAGGATTTCAGACAAAAAACGAGCTAGTTTGTAGGTGGGGGAGCTGATAGTAGAGACTATGGGACGAAGAGGTGTATCAACTTTATGTATTTTTGGTAAGCCGTATAATCTTGGTGGCCTGGCAGCAGAAGGTTTCAACGAAAACTGTTTAGATTGATCAATTAATGCGGTTGAATCAGAAATTATTTTGTTGGTTTGTGTGACGAGGCTGTTGGTGGGATCTCTTTTTATTTTTGTATAACTACCATCGTCGAGTAATTCTTTAATTTTGTTGTTGTATTCTATTTTATCCATGATAACAGTAGCATTGCCTTTGTCAGCTGAGAGAACTACAATATCATTCCTCTTTTTTAATTTATATAATTCAAAACGCTCATCTTTGCTGAGGTTGCTAGCTGGCATCTTAGCGTTTTTGAGGGTTGCAGCGATTTCAGATCTTGCTACGTCTGCAGTGATGTGACCCAGGCCCCTGAGAGCAACGTCTACTTGGGCAATTATATCATTAACTGGTATGTGTTTAGGTGTGACTGCAAAGTTTAGACCTTTAGCTAAAACGGATTTCAGACCATCGGAAATAGAACTGTTACTGCGATTAATTACGACTTTATTAACGTCTAACTTTTTGGTGTGTGGGTCCGGTCTTTTGTTGAAAAGGAGGTTAAATTTGGAAATCAGGTTTTCCTTACATTTGGTCGACATAGTAGCAGCTGAAGAGGCAGTCATATTGTCTACATGTTCCCAATCCGATGTGGACATTATTGCCGTCAATGATAAGCATATGCCGGATGGGCCTGAAACTCAATATCCCTGGACAATAAAACGGGGTAAACCGTATGGGTTGACAGGTATGGCAACATCAGAATATGTATTTATACAGAGACTCCTCTACTTACGAACAAAGCAGTCTTAAAATTTTTGATTGAAAGCTTTCGTGACTGCAGGGATTCATATTCTTGGTTCTTTCGGTAAAGTGACGCAGAAGGGAAACAATAAAATAATACAATTATAAAACAATCATCAGGTGATGATGATTGCTTGTGTTGCAGTCGAAACGTCGTGAGAATTTTATTGTTTTATATTTTTACTAAAATAATATTTTTATTAAAATAATAAAAATATTAAACATTAATGTTTTATATTTTTATTATTATATTGTTTCCCTTCTACGTGACTTTACCGAAAGAACCAAGAATATAAAAAAAATCAGTCTTTATTTCATGTAGATGCCACGTGATGAACCAGCTGCATCTACATCTGCAGAAGATTACGAACTAGTGGCATCTACATCTGCAGAACATGAAAAACTAGCGGCATCTATATCTGCAGAACGTGAAGAACCAGTGGCATCTACATCTGCAGCACATAAAGAACCAGTGGTATCTACATCTGTAGAACGCGAAGAACCAGTGGTATCTACATCTGCAGCACATGAAGAACCAGTGGTATCTACATCTGCAGAACGTGAAGAACCAGTGGCATCTTGATCTGCAGAACGTGAAGAACCAGTGGCATCTACATCTACAGAAAGTGAAGAACCAGTGGCATCTACATCTGCAGAACGTGAAGAACCATTGGCATCTACATCTGCAGAACGTGAAGAACCAGTGGCATCTAGATCTGCAGAACG